TTAAACAGTCCAGAAATATGATCTCGTCCTTTCTCGAATAGTCATCGAAATCACCTCCGCCATAGTCGGCCCATAGGCTTGGTCTTAAGGGGTTTAATTATGTATAATAATCGGACAAGTTGAGCCTCAAAGGCCAAATAAGACAGAGAGGGAATTGTAGGGTTAGAGCATGACTGAATAATGAAATGGCTCACATAACAATATAGTTGTTTATTCAGAAAATGTATATTATGTTTATTGTTGTAACCAATATAGATTCTACAAAAAATATTTAGTTGTTACAATTTTGTATTATTTATTTTGCACTTCTAAAATTATTTAACATAAAATTTTCCATTTTTATTTGAATTTTGTAATACGCCTGAGATGCGTATTAAAAAATGCCAATAAAAATGTAAAATTCTTATATTTTGTGGAAGTAAATTCAAAAGCCCGCCAATTTTCAAACTAAAATAGCATTACATCTTTCTATATTACCGACTGAGTATTAATTTCACAAAACTATTCCATATGTCGCTGAAGGTAAACATGCTGCCAAATTTCTGTGAGGAATTTACAACTCTTAATTATCCTTCCTCCATGATGGTAACTGTGTAAACCCTACATCGGTCCAATTTCAAAGGACGTTTAAAAAATTGCAATGTTTAAATTTATTACTATCTGGAACTGAAAACTGCGAAACAGGTGGGGATGCTTTACTTGTAAGGCTGCATGAAATTCGTAGGACTAGTAAGGATGAGCCATTTTCCAAAATCGCGTGTAATGGTGGCAATGTTGTCGAAAATGTAAATATAAACAAGCATATTAATGAATTGCATGCACAAAAGATTAATATTTTTTGAGAAAATTTCATTATATATGCGGATTTTTAATAAAAAAATGTCTTAAAATTCACAGTTGCGACGTATGTACACAATATGCCTTACCATACGAAGACTTGGATACAAGCTCCATGTATTGTTATTATAAACCATACAAAAAAAGCAAATGAAGATATTTTTGGCAATTTAAAAATGTCAAATAATAGTTTTGTATGTTTAATAACAAAAATTAAAATAATTTTTCAACAAAATTTTGAATTATTTATCACTAATCCGGCGTTTGCAAATTTTTTTTAGATTTAATTAATTCCAAGATAACATTTGACGCTGCTTGTCCCCGATTTCCAGAAATATATGTTATTAAGTTATATTAAGGGCTACTCATATATTACACTTTAAAAATATTAATAGAAATTTTAAGACCATCAATAAAAACAAGCTAATTATTTGGCGCAATCTGTAGAGCATATTGTTTTTCTTAATGCTGTTTTTATAAGTTAAATTAAAATATATTTTATGTAAATTTTGTTTTAATACGATCCTGTCTATCAATACCTTATTTTATTACAAAATCTTTAAATACGCTTTAATCCGACCATGACTAAGACCCCCAAATGGCGTCGCCAAGGTCAAATTTTCTTAGTATAATATTTGTATGCGATCAGCGGCAAGTGAGCCTGCCGATTGTTTATTATGCCGTGGTAATACGATACGTCACTTTACATTTCTTTCTTCTAATGTCAAAAAATACGTAAGATGAGTTTAATAAAACATATGTCTCTAACTCTTTATTACCTATTCTAAGGTATCTAATGAATATGTGGCAGCAACTGACGGCAACACTAAACATTAAAGTATGTACAGGTACGCTCTAGGCCATATGAATAGAAATTAATTAATAAAATGTTTTGCTTGAATATCAAAATTAAATATTTTTACTTATAAGTAAACATTTTGAAATGTATATGTCATCAATCAAGAGTAAAATAGCTGCCTACAATATTGTAATTACAATTTCATAATATTCAAATCAACATTTTTATTAATGAGTAAAAATTACAAAGTCAAATAAACTGGAATAAAAGTAGAATGTATGCTAATAGTCAAGTGTATACGAGTGTACTGAGAGGATAATTTTACACATTAGTTTTTCGTATAAGGGTCGATATTTTCACCTTCAGATAAAGTTCCAGTTAACTAACCAAAGGGTATATTATCCGAGAGTTACTATCGGACAGATAATGAGGTTTCCGTCTTTTCAAGAGAAATAATCTGTAGGGTAGTTATCTGGTACTTTTTAACGTTCTATGGTCATGTACCTACCTTCATATCAATGTATTTATACATGCAATATGTCATTCTCACTGTCACTTGTCATTATTTCGTTTTGTCACTTAGTTGAAAGGCTTTTGTATTTTTCTGTTGCAAGTTCACTTAAGGTCAGTCACTATTAGTGCCGCTCTTATTTTGACATCTGAGCATGCGTAGATCACTAACTTTAATAAAGATTGTGCCTGTCCATAATAAGAGAGTTATTGCAAGTTCACTTAGGGTCAGTCACTATTAGTGCCGCTCTTATTTTGACATCTAAGCCTGCGCAGATGTTTATGTTCTAAAACGTACCATATTAAGGATTGTGCCTGTCCTTAATTGTGGATGGTTAAGGGCAGCGGGTAGTGGCGACTTTATAGCTTTCGGATGCGCTCGTTGTTTAAATTTTCTAAAATTATAATTTCTAATGCCTCTTTAATATTAGGTACTATTATAGAATTTGTTTGACTCTAATTACGATGTCACTATTAGTGGCTGGCTTTATAGAAATTTGCAATAGAGAGTTATTGCAAGTTAACTTAAGGTCAGTCACTATTAGTGCCGCTCTTATTTTGACTTCTGAGCATGCGTAGATCACTAACTTTATTAAAGATTGTGCCTGTCCATAATAAGAGAGTTATTGCAAGTTCACTTAGGGTCAGTCACTATTAGTACCGCTCTTATTTTGACATCTAAGCATGCGCAGATGTTTATGTTCTAAAACTGACTTTATTAAGGATTGTGCCTGTCCTTAATTGTGGATGTTTAAGGGCAGCAGGTAGTGGCGACTTTAAACCTTCTAAAATTATAATTTCTAATGCCTCTTTAATATTAGGTACTATTATAGAATTTATTTGAGTCTAATTACGATGTCACTATTAGTGGCTGGCTTTATAGAAATTTGCAATATCTCTCTATTAAGGACAGGCACAATCTTTATTAAAGTTAGTGATCTGCGCATGCTTAGATGTCAAAATAAGAGCGACACTAATAGTGACTGACCTTAAGTGAACTTGCAATAACTCTCTATTATCTCTCTATTATTTGTTATTTAAAACTGTCATAAAGCAAGTGACAAAACAGAAAACATCAAACAACTTTCAATAAGCAAGAGGATGCTTGAAACACAAAGCAGTACTGCCAAATAAAAAATTGATTCTTAAGTCTATTGTATTATAATTAACATAGAGTTTTCATTTGATTAAATTGAATATTTCGAAGGTGTAGTTTTTTATTATGTATGTATGTATGTATGTATGTAATATTGGTGCGAAGGGCATTAGTTTATACTATTTGCCATAAACTATTTTATAAATGTAAAGGCTGTTTTTTTATTATACAGCTTAGTATTTTTTCGAAAAAAAAAATACCTATACGAAACAAATAAGTAATCCACTATTTTCAAAAATACAACATCTTCAACAACGTCCATAATGACAAATATAATAATGTGTTGACTCGTATCGCATATTATTTATTATGTCATATACCTACTTATCTATCAGTTAACTACTTTATCAGGAAGTTCAGAGGTAAGATAAGTTATCTTTCAGATTAGACCAATTTATCTGCCGGTTAGTTTTATCCAAAAGTGAAAAGATGATTTTTTAGGTTATCTGGGAGATAACGATTACCTGACACTTTATCTGAGGGTGAAAAGACCGACCCTAAACCATAGATCATTATAAGGAAGTCAGAGGTAAAATAGACCTCAAATAGTTATTTGTGTACCAAGGCCAAGAAAGGGATATTCAATCACGAATGACATAGATAGATGTCAGAATAGCAGCTGGGCCACATACTTTGATTACATCAAAGTATGTGAGCTGGACTGAATATAAACTTTTCAGGAACCAGCATCAGACCGAGAGATAGGTATAACACTTGATATTCTGACATATGCATACTACACTGACTAAGAACGAATGGAAGTGTCAGGAGGCTGAAGTCAAAAAATACAAGATGACCAAACGAAAACTGAATATAAGAGCTTTGGGTGGTAATAGCAAAGAAACGCTCGAACATTTCAATTTATTTTCCGGGGTGCATTTTTCGATCCTATACACGAATGGTACACGACACATCTCTTTCCTCTACTTCTTCAACCAATACAATTTAGATTGAGAATAGAAAGGTCATTTTACTCCCTCTAAGGGACAAAAAATTCTAACGTAATCTAAAGTGTGACACCTTTATATAAGAGCTAATTTTATTAGTAATTTAATGAACTACCTAATACAAACCTAAATATCTGCATATTACATTTGAACCAAATTGTTAGTATATAATGGCAACATACTGAAGTATTTTTTGAATATTTAGGTTATTTTTTAATTTATCTAGGATTATATTATGAAAACTATTTTTTATTAGGCATTTTTAAATTGCAAGACAAATAAATAAATAAATAAATAAAAAAGCTCTAATATCATAAATAATGTAAAAACTCCTCTAAAGTGTATTGAATATAATATTTAAACTGACATAACACGCGCGAATGGCTTTATTAATTGTCGCTGAATAGACCACCGTAGTAGTTTACGAACCGTGGTCCTGTACGGATTTAGAATTTTTTTTCGTCAATAAAGTTGCCGTATGTCAAAAAATTATTTTACAAAATGTAGAATTTTTAAATAAAAACCAACTACACGAACATCCGTTTTCAATTTTAAATACCAGCCACTTATTATTTAAAACAAACCGCATACGATCTTTATTTCCATTTCATCCTGTTACTATAACATGCATAACAGAAAGGTGAAGATACTCTATCGTAAATAATTACATTAACATGAAACACTCTCACCGCAACTAAACTATGATTTTTACTACCTTATAGTTGAATAAAAAATTCCGTTGTTGTTTCAGGCCTTGACGACGATTTCCTATCCATCCAGTATCCGTCAAGAAGAAGAGGAAGCTCCAATGACTTTTTCTAGTCACGTTTGGGGAACTGAATAAACAGGACTTTAACGTCAACGCGGACAACAATGGACTTCGGTGCGTGAATTATATTTATTATTCATATATTTTTTAATATTAAAAATGTTGCCATTGACTTGGTAATTTTCGTTAAGAATGGTTATACAAGGTACCGTTAAAAATGAAAGGACCAAGTCAATAATATTTAATAGATATCATTTTTAAAACAAATCCTGCCGAAGAAACAATATTGTGCAAGTTCTGTTAACCCTTAATTTAATAGGTGAAACATTATCCCTTGTGTTAACAACATGAGTCTCATATTTTAAAAAATCGTAATAATATATAATTTCGTAATTTTAAATTCAAATTAATGTGAAAAATAGAAAAATATTTATTAATGGGATCAATCACTTGTCAATAATTTTCTATGACTGCTTTAGCAAACATCTAAAAAAAATGGTTGGTATTTATCACATTAACTACTGTGATTGCATACGGTTTTTCTATTAGATTTTTATCATTGTAAAAATTATAAAAATTACGGATATTTTTCTGTAAATAATAATGAGAAAAAGCTAAAAGCTTCTTACAGGTATAGTTTTATTTTTCATTTGTCAATTTAAGGTTTCAGTTATAAGGTCGAGTAAATAACAAAACATTATTAAATGACCCACAAGAATGTTATGTTTGATAAGAAAGTTCTACTAGTAACTTTTTAAAATAATCATTGTATTGATTATTATTGTACAGAATATTTATTGAGAAAACAAGGAAATGGAAAACGGTATTTTGTCACCAAAGAAATACATCATTCGAAACTTTGAGACAGTTGGTTCTACTTCAAAAGAAATTGAAATATTTTTGATTTTCACAAAATTGAAATAAATTTACGAAAACAAAACATGATTTAAATTATGAGAGCTTTAGTTTCTGCAACCGGATGGTCCAGGATTATTAAAAACATAAGTTATCTCAATATTAATTTCTTCTCAATTCATTGATTCTTAAAATTGGATATGTGGGAAGTCTGCATCTTGGTATTTGTTATCAGATAATGTGTTGTTATATTAATAATCTTGAAATAAGGACAGGCTGTTTTAATAGGGTTCACACATGTACCTATTCACTGAAAACCATTTTTCAAAATTGTTTTTAGTTAATGCATCAAATTCCTCTGTCCTCTGAGGTGTCCCACCTATAATTAAAAAAAAATAATTTAATAACTACAAAACCTAAATGGAACATAAAAGTTTGTCCTGCTAAGATAAGAGGTCGTATCTACAAAATGAATATTTTTAGTAAATGTGGGTAGGTAGATAATTACGTCCTATTAGACTTCGCAAATAAGTTTTGTATATTTTACTAACCTTTTCTTACAATAATATTAAATATTTTCTAATGCAAATAGTCCTTTATTATTTAGTGTCATAATAAAATAAAATGTAAGCTTATTAAATTTGTAAGAATCTTGAAATCGGAATTTTCGTAGATACGACCTTTTGTCTTAGCAAGACAGAAGTCGTCATCCAGCATCATACATTTTTTTTACTTCTATTCCAGTTTGTTTCGTGTTCTTACGATTATAAATTTACTTACGTATATAATATATTACCTAACAAGAAGTGAACTAAATATACTTACATTTAAATATTGGTATCAGGTCGCTGAGGCCCCATCCATCTAACAAATCTTCCATTACAATTTAATTTATTCATACAATTATTAATTGAATCACAAAGAATTTCTAACAAAAAGTAGAACGCAACCCTAACAATACGACGCAAACTTGTTAGGAAATGGACAGTAGGATGAACACGTACTAATGCCAATTTGCCAGATTCTCTATAAATGCGTTGTGTCTCTGACTTCCGAATAATAAGTATCACATCTCAACATATACCAGTCATATATCTACTGTACCAGTGCAGTGGTTGCATTTTAAAATAAGTTTCAGCTGGCAACACCGTGCAGTGAATTTGTACTGCCAATTTTTTGTGAAGTTCATAGGTTTTTGATTCGAATTGTTTATTTCTTGTTCTGAAATCTAAATGACTTGAATCCAATCCTTTTATTAAATCAAGTAAGCCATAGTCGGTTTTAAGAGCATATCATACTTACAATAAACGTAAGAGCTTTCTTGGATTAATTAACAATTCTAGACTCGAATGAAATAATTTATTCTCAGATTAATTCTTATAAATTTTAAAATACAAGATTATACCTACACTTCACTCAACATTTATTTTCTCATTGTATTGAGAAATATTATTTGAATTAAGCTCTGTTTTATTTCAGACAAATGTAATCTTCCAAGTATAAAGCTTTTCTTGAATGTAGATGATAATTTTTTTGTGTATGTATATTCTTTTCTAATACTTAAAATAAAAATCGTTTATGTTTTATTTTAAATTTCAAATACTTAAGGTGATTACAGCACCCCTTATAATTTTCGGACAAGCATATTTCAAAAAGTATTTTTTTTTTCAAATTTAAATTTTGGAAAAATTAATTAGGCAATAATATCTAGAATATGCTTATATTTTAAAGTTTTAATTATTTCCAGTTTCCAAGAAAAAAAATCAAAGGGCTTTAAATTTTGAAATATCATGCATTCCTCAACAGCAGTTTTCTTAATATAATCCCGAAATTTAGGCTCTTAATCTCTTGTAATTGATTTTTTAAAATTCGCCGAAATTAGTGGCTAAACCACCTCGTTAAGTGCTGCTTTCTGGTGTAACGCGTCTGTAATTATCATATCGTACACTATGAGTCATCATTCATTTCTTGCAACGATTTACACTAGTTTACACCAGTTTACACCAGAAAATAGCACTTAACAAGGCGTTTTAGCCACTAATTTCGTCAAATTTTAAAAAAATCATTAACAAGAGATTAAAAGCCTAGATTTGGGGATTATATTAAGAATAGTGCTGAGGAATGCATTTATTTTCATTATGATATTTTAAAGTTTAAAGCCCTTCGATTTTTTTTTTTTTTTTTTTCGGAAACTGAAAGGAATTAAAAATTTAAGATATATGCATATTATAGACATTATTGCCTAATATATTTTTCCAAAATTTTAATTTTTTAAAAAAATTTCTTTTTGAGATATCCTTGTCCGAAAATTATAAGGGGGTGCTGTAATCACCTTAATTCAAGATTTTACACGGTTTTAATATTAGAATCTTAGATTACACTTTAGAATACAATGCTTAATGTAACAATTCTAGGTGATTGATTTAAGTTTGGACATTCTTGTTTTTACAATTATAGCTGCCCTTATAACGTATGTAACATAAGTTTTGGGACAAAAATCAAGTTAACACTATTTGTTAAAATTTTCATCTTTACTTAAATTAGGTAAACGGTTAACGATTAACATTATTTCTTAACAGTAAGAAAATATTATAATGCAGCTAACGGCCCATGGCCCATGATCTATCCGTCGTATTTTTGTTGTCAAGTACTTCATTAGTGATTGGATGGTAGCAACATGGATTTCTCGAATCTTGTGGTAAATTCTCTTTCCGAATTTAAAATAAGCATTTTTGATTACATTCTTAGACATTTTTCTGTGTGTAAACGTAATAGGTACATTATTAAAACAAACATCGAATATAATTATGAGATCGTAAGATTATTTGACATAAAAATACTAAATGTATCTTTTAAATACAACAACAAAATTATTACCTTAAGTGCCATATATAGATCTGCCAATACATGTGTAAATAGTTTTAATGAAAATGTATCTAATTTTTTTAAAAAAATATCATGCATATTTTTGGTGGTGATATAAAAATTAATATATTATCAGATAAAAGATATGTTGAATATAAAAATAAATTAAGTTCATTTGGATATCCCTTGTTATTGTTAAGTGTTGCACGGCAATGCGCAAATATAGTTATAAAATAATAGTGGTCGAATGTCAATGTTAAAAAGCTATCAAATATATTTTTAATTTCCAATGGTCTCTCAATCTCCTTTACAATTTATCCTAAGGAGTTACAACAGATATATTTCGTATAAAAAAACCAACTAGACTTAATCCAAAAGTTGTCTGGACCATTTTTATATTCGAAGTCAAATTCATTATAACAAAGTCTTAATTAAATTATAAATCTTTCACACAGACATTACAGATCATACGTTAACTTCCATACGTTTTCAAATTAAAAATTGTAATAAAAAAGAAATAATTCTACCAAGAGTTAATGAAAAAAAGTACCTATATTTATTACATAACTTTTAAGTTGGGCCTTCAGAATGAAAATTGGACTTATCTGTATCAAAATAACGATCCAAATAATATGGAAAATTATTTTATTCATACATTAAATAAAAATATTCTCAACAATACAAAAACAATAAAAATAAAAATATTTATTAGAAATTATTGACAGAAGTATTATAAGAAATTATTATAAGTATTTAAGATTAGGATTTATCATACATTTAACGCCCTGTATCTTAATAGGTACTATTTTTATTAATAATGATTGTACCAGTTGCCAAGTTTAAAATCAGCTTAACAATTTTTGACTGCGTCAAAAATAAAATTCGAATTCGTAACAAATTTTTATTCGATGACTTTCGAACTTCCTGGAAAAGCATTGAAAACGTTCCCGCATACTAATATGGAACATAAACGTGTTTTGACGTAAATGATCTAGTTATATTAGCATTCAATTAACGAGCTCGAGTAAATACATTAAAGAGATCTGACGGCGATGACTTTTAATTACGAAATTAGTCTTAATTATGACTCATCTAGATATTGTTTACAACTGATATGAAGTCAATAACAACATTGATTGCAAATAATCGTACGGTTAACCGCAAAATCTTGGATGGCTTGAACTAAATTACGGGAGACAATGAGTATTCAAATAATCTGATAAAACATTCCTTACATTCCATCCTACTTACACTGAAAAAAATATGAGTTCTCGACAGCACTTTCACGAAATTTATTTGGTCAGTACTATTATAAAATGTAGTTTATTACTTGGAAACTTCAATGGAGTTTAAAATGTGTGCATATTTTCAACTAAGAAAGAACACAAAAAGTA